TACTTAAAGGTTATTCCGGAAATGTCCCAATCAAGAAAAAAAAACACTGCGAATTACTGTCCAAAACAAAAACCTCGTCAGGATCTTAAATAGTTGTAAGCCATCATAATAATCCCAAAGGTTATCTCAATATGAGCAATTTTATTTAGTAAAATAAATGACACTGTTGTAAGTAGCTTCTGGTTGTTGTTAAAAGACTGGAGGTCATTCCATCTTCGTAGTAGTGAAAAGAAATTCAATGAACAAAAGGTACGGTGTTTTTTTTTTTTTTAAGTCAAATAACACCAGAAATTCAACCAAGAAGCACATAACTAACTTTGTTCCATGTGTAGAAGCTCAATTTATTCCTTCCAACTTTCCTGTGGGGCAGTGTACATAGGTCAGACTGGTCGGTGTCTGAATGATCGCCTTCGTGAGCATGCCAAAAACGTCGTCAATGCCAACTCTGAACATTTGAGACTACACTGTGGGGACTGTGGGTGTTCTGGGGTTTTGAGCAACTGCACTGTGCAGGGAAGGAGCCCAAATCAGCTTACCAGGGAGATTATCGAGGCAGCAAGCATTGAAGGACACATTGAAAACTGTTTCAGCAGGCCATCTTTAACTAGGTATCTCACAAAGGGAGCTTGAGTATTTTACCAAAATTTCTCTTAGGCACCAGCAGTTGAGAATTCTTTATTATTCTTCACTTTTTATTTCTTAACATTTATTTTTAATCATTTTTATTTATTTTCTTGTGATTTGCATTTGAGGTCGTCATCTTGTTCTTAGAAAATAGAAAAAAAAGAGGTGGTTCTTTGTGGCAAGGAGAAGAGGCAACTTTCGATGCGAAAGCATTAACTGTCCCACGGAGCAGAGCCGGCCTTTTTTGTAACCGCAGAAAAAACAGCAGAAAAATTCTCTCCGCGCCGTAACAGCTCTTAAAAGGGCTGCGGCACGGCCTGTGCGCCAGATAATTCCAAGGACCGCCACCCCACGCTAGTGCTGCAGCTCTCGCGCGCCGCCGTAGCCACGCACACCCACCGCTGTACCCAGAGCTCGGCCGGACGGCCTCCGCAGAGGCTGCCCAGCCAACCTCTGCTGAGGATAGTGGGGCGCATAACTTGTAGGAGTACCCTACGTATACGAATGCTTTCGCATTCCTACACGTAATCAGTGTCAAGTGTCCTCCTGTAATTTGTTTCATCATGTTAGCTCGTGCGCATATGGTGTTAATTTAAAAAAAAGATCGTCTAAACGTGGAAAAATGTGGAAAGCTGATCGTAAAAAAGAAACCACCCATAATAGTCAAAAATAAATGGTAGAGATTTGAATAAATAATTGACGCGCAAGATTCCTTCTTGTATATCTTTATAGGGGTTACACTGTACGTAAAGCGGGAGTAGTCACGAACTATGAATCAAGATGCTTTGTTCTATAGAGATTATATATTATCTATCACATACGATTGCTGAGGATGCCAAATGATGGATGCACACTCCAGTTGGGATCTCACAAAGGCAATGTAGGCAATAACTTTTGTTTCTGTGTTAGCCCGAAAGTTAGTTCTTTTGAGGAAGCCAAGAGTTTATGACTCTTTGTTGGTAATATGCTGAATGTTAATATTCCATGTAAGATCAGATGAGAGATGAACCACAAGATATTTAAGTGATGACACATTTTCTATAGCATCATTTCCGATTAAGTTTGCAAGGAGTGGAATGTCGTTTTGTGGTGAATGGTATAAGTTTCGTTTTGTTAGAATTTATTTTCATCAACCACGTGATGCACGAGTTCGAAGTAATGCGCAAGTCATCCTCTATATTTTTTTTCTACCTCAGAGGACCCTTAATAATTTGTATATTGCCCCTACACAGCCTAGTACATTACAATTGAATTGTCACTCGAAAACCTCTAGATTGAAATTGCACTATACGTACTTTTTTTTAAACAATTCGAGCCAGGGTTAAGTGTAAAATGCGAAAAAATACAATAACGCCAAATGTGTCCACAAACGCTTTCCTTTTATTCAGTAAAGTCAAAGCTTTGGCTAGTCGCAGATGCTTCTTGTCCAGTAGCTTGCAGCTGTTCCTTCTCTGTAAATATACACCGAAATAAATTTTTAAAAAAATTACATTTTATGGTTCGACATAGTGTATAAATTGGATAATGACACTAATATTTTATCAGGCGCGAAATGGTTCCAGGTTGTATTAGTGCTGTGTATTGGTGCCAGGAGCAAACATTTATTTCGCAGTGAACAAAGAGAGCTTCCAGAGAAGGGTATATTTACTCGACAGCTTTATCGAGGTAGGTATTGACGAGATTAAAGACTAGGCTTTCAGGCTTGCAAATTTGCGTGTAATTTTTTTTTTTTGTCGAAAGCAATTGATGTGCTACGGAAGCCACTCGAACGCTCGGTGTTTTAGGGATTCGGTATATAGGAGAGTTCACGTAGTAGAAGAGGAGCTTCATCGAGTTGATGTGTTTTCTTACAATCCTCTTAACTCGGGAAATATAAAATAGAATATAAAATGAGATTTGATTAATACATATTTGGTTAAGATTTAAAAAAAAATATTTTGATTTTGCATGTGTTCGACTGAGCAACGATTTTCTGCCTCGGGCTACTTTAAGAATTGATAGCCTTTGATTTGCGCTTTGCTTAACTAGACAGTCACACGGAACATTCAATGAGAGAGAGGGCTGCTCCGTATATCTCAGTCTCTTTTAAGCACAGTGTTAACTATTGTTGTAAAGCACCGACAAAAACAATACAAAAAAATCCATTGGTGGATTCTTAGGGAAAGTGTTATGATAACCATTGGGAAATGCCATACACGTCCCCCTTTGGGAATCGCTAGCCTTCACTTCCTTTATTTGGCTTTCTCTTTTGCTTCCTTCATTTTTGTTGCCTCTTTTTGCTCTCGCTACAAGGTCAGTTTAGCTTCTTTTTTTCTTCTTTTTTTTTTTAAGATGGACGTGCGTGGTGCTTCCCAAGGGTCGCGCAAACGCATTTTCTAATAATCCACCTGTGAATCTTCCTGTAATTTGTTTCACCCCTTTTCTGCACTCTGCCTATCAGGGTACGTCAAAGCCCTTGGATACGGTCATCGATAGCACAACTGGAAAGAACCACAACCATACACAATCATGGAAGCAACCGCATCCTTATCACTCTTGGAGGGAACCACATCCATCGTTTTAACTATGCACACACATCGCAGCCCGCGCATCGCTACTACAGAAACCCATAGCTAAGAACAACCGGCGACAACTGCGGGGCAACTGGGCATGCCTGAATTCCACCGTGCCGGAGCGCGTCCTCCTCTCTAGCTCCGCGACAGCTGCAGGCGTGACTGACGAAAGCAAAAGGGTTCGTTCTGATGAAAACCGGCCGTATATATACTCCGTGTCACTATGGTAATGTGCAGTACAGGCTAAGGCAACGCCAGGCGAGGGGAGACAGGGCAAGCACTAGGAAGGCTGGGGAGGAGGAGAAAAACTTCCTCTCCACGCTGGCGTTTCTGGTGCTCTCCCTTTCTCCCGTGTCCCTCCATTGCACTCCTCTCCAGTCCCGCCTTCCTAGTGCTCGTCCTTTCTCTCTTCGCCTAGCGTTGCCTTTGCCTGCACTGCACACAACTAGTGACACGGAGTATAAACGAACTCATGTTTACAAACAAACCACAGCGCTTCTAGCGGACGCCGCCGGCGCCGTGCATGCGCGATGGGTGTGGGCAAGAAGCTTGCCATCGCCCATAAACAATCCACTGGAAGGCGCTGTTGTCGACGTCGGTATGAGTCCCCGTGCTCGTTTTCGCGTTGAGATTGTTAATTCCACGGCTTCCTGGTAATGTCTGATTACTTTAGTGGCCCCAGCGAAATTAATTAGGCTCGTTACACCGCAACGCGTTGCGTTAATAATGTGACGCACGCCAATTCATTCCGCGTGGACGGCTCAGAATGGGCGCTAAAGTCTGATTCGCATGATGAAATTCTGCTCGCTATTTTCAGTCCCGACGTTGCTCGGGCTGCAAAACCGTGGTTTGTAGCTGAGATGAGCGACGTCGGTACTCAAAATTGCAAGCAGTACCGGAAGTGAATCAAACATAACAAGTTGGTGATGGCCACTGGATACACTGATCAACAGCTTCTTGCATCTACTATTTACACCGAGCCTACTTACCCCAACCCACCTTCAAACTTAAGTCTTTTAAGGCCTGCACTAACTTCTTATCACAATTACCTGGTCAACGTTTGGTCTATGGGCCGCTCTTGTTTGAAAAAGCAGACGACAAGCAGAAACGTTTAAAAGAGCAGACGACAGTTCGAACGATCAGGTAGCCGTTGGAACTTTGACGGACCGAACGTAGTCCGCAGGTGGTCCATGCAACTTAGCGGTTTTCTCGCGTACATATTGGAACAAAACAAATAAATCTCACAACCAGAAGTATTTGTGAATTCAACCCAAAGTGCTTCCCGCCCAAGCAATCGTCGTCCGACGGCGTCTGCTTTTCGCTTTTTGCGGCACATATCCACGTTCTCGGACAACTGAGAAGGCAGAAAACATATAAAACCTGCCCTTCAAACCTTTCCCGATTCTTTTGTACAGGAACCCCGTCGCAGCGTGTTGACGAGAATGCAGGTTTTCAACCGGCTTCTTCCAAAAACAACACAGGAATGCACGTCCCGCATGGTGACTTCCATCCACAGCCCCAGAGCGGAAGCGCGCCCGACGCGCCACCACCGTGCCGTGATGTAACAGAGCCGAGTTTGTGTATATGAGTTTTTCTGCGAGGGGGACAGAAGGGCAGGTCGACGCGTGCGCTTAGAACCAATTGGAGCCTCGCATGCGTCACTCTCTCCATCTCTCTCTCTCTCTCTTTCTCTTTGCCCGGCGCTGACAAACGTTAAAATAAAACTTACTATTTTTCTTTTTTAGCATAAAACAGTTTTGATCAGTCAATTCGTGATCGGGAGTGGACAAACTTTCAATAACTTGCCTTTTTCATGACTTGAAATTACCAAACGTGTCCGAGGCCATATCCATAGGTGCTCAGGCCATGACCGTAACGGAGCCCGTAAGTGCCCAGACCGTAGCCATATCCGAGGCCGTAGCCGTGAGTTGGGACCGCGTGGACAGTGGAGAACGCCGGGGCAGCGTAGGCGGCGACCTTGGCGACCGCCGGGACGGTGTGGACAGTGGCCACAGCCGGGGCCGTGTGGACGGAGGCGTAGCGTGCGACGGGGGTAGCCACGGGGTGCTGGCTGCGGTAGCTGCTCACGCTCGACACGTGGGACACGGCTGCACCGTGGTGGACGGCGGTGACGGCCGGGGCCACGACTCTGCTGTACACTGGGGCGGCGTGGTAGGCTGCTACAGGGGCTCTGTAGCCGTACAAGGAACTGGCGTAGCCGGCAAGGGCACAGCTCGCCAGAGCCACGAGGAGACAAGCGCGGAACTAGAAGAAAAATAAATATTAGCATTAAATAAATGCCTAGGCTTCAACTAAATTAAACAAAACCCCAATGGGGACTTTTAAGCACAATCTTACGATACTAGAGGTTTATAAATTTGTCGCTTGAGAGACCGTCGATTTGTTTCTGTATTTTTGATGCATGGTGAAAATTAGACCATTTCGAAATCAGAAATATAAAGCAATATTTGCGCCCTTAATTAAAAATGGTTTGCCTTATCATGCGTTCGGAGCTTATTTTTTATTGCTTAGTATAATTAGTATAATTATCTAAACCTTACTTTTTATCTAAAACGAGCTGAGCTACGTTCGTCCACTGTAAGGCTAGAAATGGGGGGGGGGGGGGGGGGGATATAAGCTCAACAAAGAAACGGTCAGCAAGTTTACTATAGAAAGAAAAATCGCCAAAGGGGGACTTACAGTGAACATGATTGCTCGCAGTTGGGTCTGGTAAGTTGCTATGAGCAGCGGAAACTTCACGCTCCTTTTATACTGGTAAAATCAATGAAAAGGGAAAGACTGACTAGGCGAGGCGTGGTTCCGGAATCAAGCGACAAACAGACTGACAGATGGGAGAAAAATGTAGACGTGGTTGAGTCACGTTCAAACATAGCTCTAACATCGAACTCACCGTTTTCATGTTTATAATATCGGCAAAGTTGACTAACCGGCGGAATGCCGTAAGAAGGAGAGCGGTGCTACGCAATCGTTCTTTCAGACCACATACAGGATTGCATTCTGGCTGGACACGGGCGTTGCTTTTTATCGGGAAAAAGCCGTCTTACTGAACTGCCCCAGTATCAATAAATATATGTTAAAGTCGTTTCCAAGTGAGATGTGTAAAGTGGAGTGACCATAAACGGCGGAATGCATGTAAATTGTAGTTTTATTTAGACTTTCTGAAGCTAAGCGCCGTATTCAGAACTATTACCTCGGGAATTCTGATTTTGTTCATCAAGGAGGTAATGATTGCAATATGGTACGGATTTGTTAAAATATAGGCGGCGAAAAGAGAACATAGCAAAAAATAATGACGACTTGATGTCTCCTCAAGGGCCTTGATTTGTTCGTGTTTATCTGAATCACTTTCATTACGCTGCCAAAATAAGATAAGATTATCGGTTAAAATTTTGAAGCCCCGTGGCCTTTTTTGGTCTTTTTGTGACCTAAGGGTTTATCTCCTAAAGATTTCGGGTTTTTTGGTGTCTATCATGGGGCTTTTATGTTAAAAACATCAATAGCACCAAAACAACAAAAACAACAACAGAAACAAAAGCAACAAAAATGCGGGCATAGGATTCCTCAACGTTTAGACAGTGGACATATTAAACAAATACTAAAACACACAAAAAAGCCGCGGAACTGATGAAAAATATTAAATATGGGCTGGTATCCGTGAAGAAGAAAAATGGGCTCGTGAAAAGTTAAATAGGGATTGTAATCTCGGTCATCAAAACATAAAGCTCTTGATAGAGTTTTCTCTCTGTGAAGCTTGGGTTTCTCTTAATTAAAGCAAATTTTTTATATATGTGTGTGTGTGTGTGTGTGTGTGTGTGTGTGTGTGTGTGTGTGTGTGTGTGTGTGTGCGTGTGTGTGTGTGTTTTGATTGTTCGCTTTTTTTAGAAAAAGCGGTTTCATTTTCTTTTCTTTTTCTTTCCTTTTTTTTTGGGAGGGGGGCGGTTAGGCTCTTGAATAAACCAACTACAGAAAATGACGATCTTCTATTCTTTAATTTACAGAAACTTCAATAAGGCTTGATCTTTTTCTTTTACAGCGAGAAGTTTTATTTTTTTTATTTTCAGCTATTTTGTGAAGCAAAGTACCTGTGTTAACTAACTAATTACATGTTTAAAGAATCTGCATGGATACTTTAAATAAATTTTGCACTGCCGTTTTACTTTTCTTTTCATTAAACAACAGCCACTGATAGGCAAAAAGAAACGTGGCTTCAAACTATTCCAATCTTCGTAATATGCTGACAAACACCTCGAGCTGAGCTCACACATAATTTGTTTTATATACGCTAATGCGGAATACTAAAATAACTGGTTTTCTACCAGTGTATTTGTATACGATTAATACTGTAAGCCCTCTGTTGTACTGTACTGGCTACCACGTTGTCTTCAATTTTATAAAAAAAAAAGAAGCAATATCCGAGAAAGTTTATCCCGCGGTCCTAATCAAAGTTTGACCGGCGGTACTTTCTTTTAAAATAGATGTAGTAACGAAAGGTTATTTGTTTCCTCACCCCACCTAATATGGCCTTGCCAAAAATAATCCAGCACAGCCAACAAAAACTTTCTAGTCAACTGGATCTTTCAGATTGTTGGAAACTGCAGCAAAGACAAAGATCCCTCTTTAATGGGACTAATTTCTGCTGCCTTAAAACTCACCCTCTTGCTTCATCAAGCCAATGTCGTAAGTCAAAACATAACGATGAAGTTTTATCGTTTTTCCGGTTTGCAATCAATTTGGGTTGCTTCAACTCACGACCGTTAATTTTCAGATAAATAGAATGGTGCTCTTCTCTATTGTTCAAAGCTTTATCACTTAAAACACCTTACTGTTAAAGCGCACGACACGTATGTAGGCTCGGACAAACCTGCCTGTCACATGGAGTGACGATGGAATGAAAACATTCCTTTCTTAACGGCCTTCCGGAGATTACTGAATTCGATTCCGGTATAATCAACATGGATGCAGCAAAGCGAGCGTCATAGTGATTCTAGTACGTGATTCGACTGCGTATAATTTGAACCTTTGAGGTGTTCGCTTGTTTGTGACTTGTATGCGTACCTGGCCCCGCCTAGTTAGTCATTTTCATTCCCAGTCTATTGCAGGTATAAAAAGGAAACGTTTTGATGTTCTTCACTGCCAGTTGCACAGACGCACCTAAATACATCATCATGTTTGCCGTAAGCCTCAACCTAACACTTCTCCCGGCGTATACAGTAAAAACTTACAGTTTCCTTCATCAGCCTAATAGGCACTTTTAGTAAATCGTTCCGATAACCCCGATAACGATACCCGATACTCCGCCGACGCCTTGAGCATGCATCGTATCGTTATCGGAGTATCGTTATCAGTGGTATCGTAACGAACTACTAAAACTCTCTAATATCCCTCTCATTCGTCTTCGTTTAGCTTAGGAACCTAACTCAGCACGTTGTAAATATTAGAGTTATATCGGCATTGATTATAATCGCAGTACTCGTTTGAAGCAAATGACACTAAATATGCGTAACTGATCTATACTATTATTTGAGGACGTTTCTAATTGAATGCGAATGATTGGTTCAATGTGCCAAATTTGAAAATTCAGTGGCTAAACAAGCAAACACCTACCCTTTGACTTTATTATCCATGTTGTGTTTCGATAAACAAGTAGCTTAAAAAAAGGTACTTCGACAACACCCGTCAAATTGAATTGGATTGGCATGAAATCAAGACGTACGACGAATGGTAATACTTTTTTGCTATTTCCAGTTCCATGCCGCTCTTCTTGTGGCTCTTGCCAGCTGTGCCCTTGCCGGCTACGCCAGTCCGTTGTACGGCTACAGCGCCCCGGTGGCAGCCTACCACGCCGCCCCCGTGTACAGCAGAGTCGTGGCCCCAGCCGTCACCGCCGTCCACCACGGAGCAGCCGTGTCCCACGTGTCGAGCGTGAGCAGCTACCGGAGCCAGCACCCCGTGGCCACCCCGGTCGCCCGCTACGCCTCCGTCCACACGGCCCCGGCTGTGGCCACTGTCCACACCGTCCCGGCGGTCGCCAAGGTCGCCGCCTACGCTACTCCGGCGCTCTCTGCTGTCCACGCGGCCCCAACTTACGGCTACGGCCTCGGATACGGCTACGGTCTGGGGACTTACGGACTTCGCTATGGTCATGGTTTGAGAACCTACGGGCACGGACTCGGCTACCATCTGTAAACACGATATTTTATATATAAAACTGCTATTAATAAAGTTTCTGGTTCACAAATAATGTTCAGTGTCTCACGGTTGGTAACCGCAAGCTGCACTAAAGGCAAGTTATTGGACACATACACTCTTCAGAGAGAATAGTGCGGGCCAAAACTCCTATAGACTAAAAAAACGCAGTTTTGTTATATGTTGGCACTCAGAAACGGTAGCAATTAATTCTTTTTTAAATATGAGGTATAAATAGCGCCCTCACGCACGTGTTCTGTTGGTCTCCTTGCTCTTTGTCGACCAGCGAACAAGAACACAGGTTTCGATGAATTCAATTATTTTAGAGCGCAGCTCTTAGGGGCCCGTTTCCAGCCTGAGCGGCGTCGGCGTCGGCGTCGGCGTCGGCGTCGGCGTTACCGGGGGGGGGGGGGGGGTCACGTGACCCCCCCCCCCCGAGGTCACGTGACCCCCCCCGGAGTCACGTGACTACCCGCAGGTGACGTGACCCCCCTCAGTACCCTTCCCTACTCCTCCTCAAGAGCTGCCCTCCAATTCGGCGTTGCAGGAATTTGTAAACGGCTTTCATTTTTGCATCAGAGATTAATTGAAAGGAACACTGATCACTTTATCCTTCATAAAAAACAACAAGATCCAGGAAATTGTTGCACAATGAAAAACATACTTTAACTACATTTAATTCTATAAGCAAAATATGAGATCCAATGTTAAGCCCGGTGCAGACTCTTGCGTTTGAGTGTGTTTGACTGCGTTGGGTCGAGAACCGAAAGCGAGTCACCGGCACATCTGTGCTTCGTATGAAGCGTGGAATCCTATTCAAGGAATCATCTTGGCACGCGATATAAGCAGCCGGAATGTCCTGGTTTCTCGCAGCCGCAACGCAGTCAAATGCAGTCAAACGCAACTGTCTGAACTAGGCTTTACATGCGTTGTTTTATTCCATTAGGTACAAAGATTGCAAGCAAAAACTCCAACTCGAAAGCGCTCCTCAGATAAGTGTTGTTCCCCACGTGAGCGTGATGCACTAATGGGGGAAGGTGAAAATTCTTGTGGTTGATAGCGTGAAAAAAGGTTTCAAATAAAATACCTTAAGGTTTCCGACACAAAGTAATAAACAAGCCGACACCTGGAAGGCATAGCTATGCGTAGCTCGGTGACACACATAGACAATTATACCGCTGACGTTGCTTTCACTAAGTGTATGTTGCCGGAATAGAGTTGATCGGTCTCAGGGATGCCATTATCGAAAAGGTAACCCCACTTTATGACTACTTCAAGTTACGCAAATGTTTGTTTTCAGCCTTCACACACACCCTGCGTCTGAAGAAAAAAAAAAGTATCGGTGTTGGGAAAGGGCATACTGAGTGATGTGAAGAGTGTAAACCGTCGGGGCGATCAAGCATGGCTCTTCAGTTCTTATTTGACAATGACGTGGACATCGCTATATTTGATGACTAAAATTTGGGTTTTCTATTTTACGATGCCAAAGCATGTTTATCTCAAATATTAGTATAAATTAAAAAAAAAACATGTCCAGGTATAACATTTACCCATCCAATTACACTATTGTAAAATTATTATGTTTGATCATACTGCCGCCCGCAGGGTCGATAAAGAAACGCTCGGTCACGGATTTCTAGAGGATTCGCGTTCATTCTCGCACCAGACGTAACTTTCCTCCTGCTCTCTTCTTCTTGAAATTTCCAGTTCATC